AAAGTTATAAATTTATTTTAACTTGTTCATAATTTTAAATTTAAGCTATCAGAGCGAATACAAATAGAATGAGTGAGCAAGGTAAAAAACAACCATCACTACTGTTCACACCATTGACAATACGCGGTGTGACACTTAAGAACCGCATAGGAGTGTCACCGATGGCCACGTGGAAAGCGGTGGACGGTATACCCAACGACTATCACGTGATGCACTATGGTTCATTTGCCCAGGGTGGTGCCGGACTGGTCATGGTAGAGGCTACGGCAGTTGAGCCCAGGGGCCGTATGACACCGGCCGAAACATGTATCTACAATGACGAGCAGGTAGAGGGGTGGCGCCGGGTTACCGCCCTGATCAAATCGTTAGGTTCAGTGTCGGCCATACAAATCTTTCATGTGGGTCGTAAGGGCTCGGTGCCGGCCAACTGGAAAGACTTTAACCAATCGTATTTGTCAGATGACCAGGGTGGTTGGCCTGTCATAGCTCCCAGTGCTATACGATTTAATGATAAGCATAGAGTGCCCAAAGAGGCCACACTTGAGGACATAGAAGTACTGCAACAGGCGTTTGTGTCGGCGGCGCTCCGAGCGGTTAGCGCTGGCTTTGAGGTATGAGTTATAGAAACATTCGTAAATGAGTTATTGTGTTATTTAATGCAATGAAAGGGTTGCAATAAAATGCTTATATTTTTAGTGTTTTGATTAGGATTTAATAAAATTAATTTTTTCAAAATAAATTCAATAAATTATTAAATTAATATTATTGTATTTAGTTCAAAATAAGTGTATATTAAAAGTTTATTCTAATTTTGTTCATTATCTATTTAGGTGATTGAGTTACACTACGCTCATGGATATTTAGTAAACCAATGGCTGTCGCCGGCTTGTAATCAACGCACCGACCGATACGGCGGTTCACTCGAGAATCGGATGCGCTTCGGCTTAGAGACGGCCCGTCGGGTGCGGGAAGTGATCCCCAAATCAATGCCACTGTTTGTGAGGATTTCGGTCAC